TGAAGCCCAGTTTCCCGGCCTTCTGCTTGGCGTCTTTGCTGCTGCTGGAGTTTTGGAAGAGCTGGCGGACGAAAGCGTCGCGGGACTCGCTGACCAGAGACTCCAGGGACATGTGCAGCGCGTCGTTGTTCTTCTCCACGAACTTCGTCTGCAGGGGGGAAGAGAGACGGGAAATCCAGACGGGAAAATGGATGTGCTGTTTGTTTGTTTGTTTGGTAGGTGGAAGCCCAGCCACCACAGAAACCAAAAGAAACTAAAATAAACAAAAAGAAACCAAAAGAAACCAAAAGAAACCCAAAGAAACCAAAAGAAACCAAAAGAAACCCAAATAAACTAAAAGATACCCCCCAAAACCCCAAAGAAACCCAGAGAAAATTTTAAAGAAACCTAAAGAAACCCCAAAGAAACCAAAAGAAACCCAAAGAAACTAAAAGAAACCAAAAGAAACCCAAAGAAACTAAAAGAAACCAAAAGAAATCCAAACAAAGCCCAAAGAAACCAAAAGAAACCAAAAGAAAGCCAAAGAAACTAAAAGAAACCCAAAAAACCAAAATAAACCCAAAGAAAGCCAAAGAAACAAAAAGAAAAACCCATAGAAACCCAAAAGAAACCAAAAGAAGCCAAAAGAAAAACCCAAAGAAACCAAAAGAAACTCAAAGAAACACAAAGAAACAAAAAGAAAAACCCAAAGAAACAAAAAGAAAAACCCAAAGAAACCAAAAGAAACTCAAAGAAAACAAAAGAAACCCAAAGAAACCCCAAAGAAACTAAAAGAAACACAAAGAAACCAAAAGAAACCCCAAAGAAACCCAAAGAAACTAAAATAAAACCCAAAGAAACCCAAAGAAATCCAAAAGAAACTAAAAGAAACTAAAATAAACCCAAAGAAAAACCCATAAAACCCAAAAGAAACCCCACAGAAAACAAAAGAAACCCCAAAGAAACCCAGAGAAAAACCAAAAGAAACCCAAAGAAACCCAAAGAAACCAAAATAAAACCTAAAGAAAGCGACTCTATGGTGATGATACTCAACTATTTCCATCTATTTTGGCTTTAAAATATAGGCTTTATAAATAAAAACTGAACACAATACATACAAGTTTTTCTTCCTACAATATGCAATATTTATAATTTTTTACCTGAAAATGTGCAATATTTACTGTTTTTTTAACCTAAAATAAAGGCTTTATAAATAAAAACTGAACACAATGTGCCTTATTTACAGTTTTTACCCTAATATGTGTAATATTTACAGTTTTTTTACCCTATAATTTGCAATGTTTCCATTTTTATCCTAAAATAGAGGCTTTATAAATAAAAACTGAACACAATATGAGCATAATTTATCGTTTTTTTTACTCTAAACTGGGCATTATGTACAGTTTTGGTCCCTGTGGGGGGAGATGCCACCGGCTGTGATTAGGGTTAAGGTTCTATAAATAACTCTGTAAATAACTCTGTAAATAACTCTATATATAACTATAAATAACTCTGTAAATAAGGTTAGCGCACCGTCTCGTAGCAGACGGCTCCGGCTATGATTTGGGTTAGGGTT